TGTTGTTCATTACTTCTAAAAAATCTATCTTCCCATGTATGTAATCTGTTATATGGTTTGTTGTTGAAGCTTAACTATGAAATCAAATGTTTATATGTTGCTGAAATTTGGAAAATGTTTGCAATAAGCATTTGCATATGCAATTTGCTAAAATTGTTAAATATGGTAAATTGTATATAAATTATTAAAATTTGTTTATTAATCTTTTTTCAAAGTCTTTGAAGTTTAAAAAAATCAATTGTTTTTTAAAAGTCTGCAGACTTCAAAAAAACAAACAGTCTTCTTACAGACTGCAGACATTTGGTCAACCTCTTCTACTGCATAGGTCTACAAATGTGGTGTAACACTTGAATCCTGGTATGATTCATTATTTCCCCTTTTGTAATTATAAGTTGTATTTTGGTCCTTCTGTAGTACGCGGGGTGTACCACATGGTACGCTTGGCGTACAAGCTGTGAAACGAGTACGCGGGGTGTACCAAATGGTACGCTTAGCGTACTCATGCGAGGCCATGTGGGATTTCAGACACGTACGCGGGGCATACATCCATGTACGCGGGGCGTACGTGTGATTTAATGAAAACCCTAATTTCGGGGTTGGACACTATATAAACTCATTTATGACTCATGAAACCCTAATTTCTCAGCCTCCACGATCCTTATAGCCTTATACATGAAACCCTAAACCTCTCCTTTGTGTTTTGAGCTCATTGTGTCCATTTTGGTGTGTTGTGGTCCATAATCAAGAAGTAGAAGCTTGGTGCAAGGTGGTGGATCAAGGAAGAGCTTGTGGATCTTGATTATCTGTTTCATTTCCAGCTTATTTGAGGTAAAAAGCTATGACATTGCTCATTAGTAGCTTAGATCTAGTTTGTATGGGTTTTGGACCCTTTTTGGCCCTATGAATGAGATCTAGTGGTTTGATACCACTCCAGGAGCTATGAGTTGCTACTCTTGTTTTTTCTGAGGTTCAAGGTCCATAAAGTTGGCACCTTTTGGGTTTAGAATCACCCATGCATGAGATTATGTCCCTTTATTGAAAGTAGAGTGCTATATCTTGAAGTTGGGTCCTTATGGGGCATGCAAAGTCACCAAGTCAGTGAATTTATGGTTCTAGACGCTTATTAGGACTCAGATCTATGATTTGGACTTCTGGACTTAAGCATTAAGTGCTTAAGGAGGATTTTGGCTTAACAGGTGAGTACGCACGACGTACAAGTCATATAGTGTGTGCGCTTAGCGTACAGCTGAGTACGCCCCGCGTACTCAGTCAGATGAGTTTTTGCATTTTGGGCTTCGAGATTGGGCTTTCTTTTGGGCTTGGGTGTTTGAGTTCTTATTGGTCCAGCTGAGTGCAAGTGTTTTGGACTAGGGAAAATTATTGGGCTTTAGGGTGAGGCCCATCTAAGGGTTTGGGCCTAATTTGGAAAATTTAGTCTTGGACCAAACTAGGTTAGGGGTAAAATGGTCTTTTTACCCCAAGGATGAATAGTTGGATATGGATTGGAACCCAAATGTTAAATTGGGTGTTATTTTGTATTAATAGCGTGAGGATTCGTCGAACCAGGAGCCAGGGATTTCGATGAGATTCAACAGTCGATGTGAGTTTCCTCACTGGGTTTAGCGGGTCTAAGGCACCAATGACGACCCTTGTTATTTATGTTGGGATGCTAGGAGTCGGTGTGACCCTTGCATGTGATATATGTTGCTATGTATACCGGGCAGGGCTCGATGTCGGGCGAGGCCCGATAACTGTATCGTATGCTATTGTTTATGATCATTGCATATATTAGTATGATTATGTGATATATGTCTATGTGTATAGTGGGCGGGGACTGATGTCAGGCGGGGCCTAAGAATAATAGATATGTATACCGAGCGAGGCTCGAAGTCGGGTGGGGCCCGAAGCCGCATGGGACTCGATACCGGGCGGGGGCCCAGTAAGTGGTTTAATATGTATGGTATTGGGTAGTTTGGGGAACTCACTAAGCTTTGTGCTTACAGGTTTCAGTTTATGTTTCACCTACTTCTGGTTCCAAGGGGAAGAGCTCGGGATGACTGCATTGCACACACCACATAGTTCCGCTTTTGTGATTACTCTGATTTAAGATGATGTTTGATACACTTAATTTATTTGGGTTGTATTGATGATTGTCTTTGGAATACTGTTTTTATTAAATTTAAAATGAAAATTTTGGGTCATGTTTTTGGGACGTTACATGTGGTCCGCAGACTGCAAACATTTTAACACTTCAAAAAAAACAATATCTTAATGAAAGTAATATACCACTCACATATTTTAAAATCTCAAATTAATAATCATTATATCATTTAAAATTTATATTATATCAATTAAAAGTATCAAATAAGCTAATTATGTTAATCCAATTTCATGTCAAACATAATGTAGTCATACATTATATATTTTTTTTCTAGGAAGTATTGACCATGTTAGGTTTCGAACAATACCCAACGACTTTTGAGAAAACCAAAAACTCGTTTCATGTCCTTCCTTGTCCATTATTGTGTTATGTTGAACCTTTTTCCATTTATCGTCGTTTGGATAGGTAAATGTTTTCACAATAGTACACTATCTTGTAATTTTTTACACACAATGCATATAGTCACAACTGTTGTAAAGATCATGTGATAAATTCTTGACAACATGAATTCGCTACTTGTTGGACACTTCAAGTGGCCATGGGCTTTTCTGATCAATCATAAACGTCATTTCAAGTGGAAAATTGTAGTTGTTGTTTTTCAGTACTTCAACAATTAATCAGACATAAATCACAATTCATTTTTTCTAAGGTGATTTTGATGTGTGTGTTTTTTTTTCATTTGATAATCATTTGTGCACTTAGTTTTGTAACCCCTCCTTTGATTATGCAATATCATTATATCTGCCTTGTGGATGTGCATAGCCTCTTCGGTTGTGGAACCACATTAAATCCGTTGTCTTGTTATTGTTTGTTTGTGTTTGTTACACATTGTTATCTTAATATTTCCACATTATATTTGTTATGTTTAGTTGTTGGGTTAGCCCTGACCACGGGTTTTAGGTATTTCAGATGGTGTCTTCTCATTAAATGAAATTGTTGGTGATATACTTTATCATTTTGATTCTTTTCCCTAATAGCCTAATTGTAGTAACTCCAACAATATAATACCCATGCTTGTATTATACTATGTTAACCTACAAGGACAAATAGGCTGGTTCTATTTATGTGGTTTAATGATGGTGATTGATTGAGGACGTTTTTGTCGTTGGAACCGAAGACACCAAAAAAATGCATGTCAAATTCTTAAATATTGTGAGGCTACTACTTCAATCACAATAATGGGATACTCATGATCGCCTCTTATGTATTGACCTTGTCATGTTGTTCAAATATTAACACCAAAGAATGCATCCCAGATCCATAAATCTTGTAAGGCTACCGCTTTGAGCTTAATCATAGGGTACTCGTGATCACCACTCACAAATTATCAGACATAAATCACCACTTAGTCATCGCTTCAAGTGCCGATTTTCAGTTTTTCAGCAATTAGCTACTTAACTAACAAAATGAAGTAGTTGTGAAGTAGCAATGGGTTGTTTATAATTCAGTGACGAATTTTGTTCATGTTTAAGGCTAGTTCTTATAGTTTATCTCCAAGTCAATTTTGATGATTTTTCTTGCTTTTGTTCATCATTTGTACACTCGTTAAGTGTTGCACAACCTCTTCAATTGTGGAACCACGTTAAATCTCTTGTCTCGTTATTATGTTTGTTGCCATATTGTTTGTTTGTGTTTGTTAGACATTGTTATCTTAGTATTTTCGCATCATATTTGTTCTGTTTGGTTTTTGAGTTAACCATCTTTTTAGGGAGTAAGGGTTCCTTGTATTTCAGGTGGTGTCTTCTCATTAACTGAATTTGTTGGTAGTATACTCTATCATTCGTATTCTTGTCCCCTAACATCTAATTGGAGTAAATCTGGCAAAATATAATATTCATGCTTGTATTGTACTCCGTTAACCTGAAAATGACACTATGGTTGGTTCCATTTGATATGTAGTTGAATAATGGCAAGTGATTGAGGACATTGATGTCGTTGGAACCGACGACACCAAAGACTGCATGTCTAATCACCTTGTTGCCGAGTTCAACTTAACGAGGAGGAAGATGGATTGAAGTGAGAAATAAGTAAAAGAAATTGGTATTCTTGAGTTTCATTACAAGAAGAAAGTGGAAGGATATGAAAGAATCATTTTCCCTCCTAACTTTCTTTTCAATTTGGACTTGAAAAGAAATGAACAAAATGTTTAATTTTCTTTCACTTCTCTCCAACTTGGGAACACAAAATACAAATTTATTTTCCTTTCCTTTCTCTTCTTTTCTCACCCCTTACTTTCTTTCCCCTTCTTTTCTTTTCTTTGTTAAAACTCGGGAACTAATCATGCGAGGCTACTGCTTCCATCATAATCATGGGTTACTCATGATCACCTCTAATGTATCGACTTTGTCATGTCATAATAATGGGGTACGCGTGATCACCTCTCATGTATTGACTTTGTCATGTTGGGCAATTACTCGAAGCCCAATGCGTACAATCATTGTTGCTTAGTGTTTCAAGAAATCCATGTTTTTTTGCTTAACCTATTAAGTCACCTATTAAGTCATAAAGTCCAAGTTTAAGTAAAAAAAAACATCTATTATTAAGAGTTTAACCCATTAAGCTATATTGATAGCTAACGTATAGTCAAACAATGAAAAAGCTGAATTCAAGCGTACGACTGACAAATCTAAAGTAGATATAAAACTTTTGTTTAAAAAGGAAACAGATATTAACCAAGTTCTACACAAATTCAAAGAAAGCAAAGAAAAACACAAAGCTGAAACTAGGACAAAATCGCATCTGTGAGAGTCTGATGCAATCACTACCTAAAAAACAACTAATATAAAATACTAACTATGGTTCAACAAACAGCACATAACTAACTGTACCTAGTTCATCACTAAAGCATTTGAAAGGTGGAATGATGGGGTGAAGTGACATCACCTGGTATAGCATTGACCCTTTTATGAACTTGAGGTTGACCAGGCATTCTATGCAGTTCAAACATGAACATCATATTCCCTTCTGAACCTCTTTTATGTTTACAATGCTTCACAGTATACAACCCATCATACACAAACACTTCATTGTTCTTCAGTCCAACTCCAACAAGTTTCCTAATCACCCTAACAGGACTTTTCTTAATCATACTGTTCTTCAAAGCAAGATTACCCCTTTCAAGTTTTTGATCATCAGGTGCCACCTGTGGCTTAGACCCTAAGAACCCGGCCCCACCACCTTCACCACAATAAGTAAGCACATCACAAGATTGACTTTGGTTTGAGTAACGATGAGAGTCAACTATACTTATAGCAAGATTCTTTCCATCAATGCTGGTGTAATCTATACCATTAAGTAGTTGGCAATGAAGACCTACCATTTGAAGCTGTAACCTAAGTTTGAACATGTCGCCAGGCTGGATACCCCGGATCTGACCTAATGTCTTGTCAGCATTCATCCATTTTAGCTTTTGTTTGACCATTTTTGCAGCCTCTTTGGGAACTCTCCAATGAGTTATCTTTTCCCCTTTTGTTTTGATCCGTTATCTTGGAGTAAATGAGTGTAAACTTTATCAAACAAGATCATTGCCTCGCGGATCTTTTCGCGTCTAATTTGTTCATTTCGTGATACGATAGTGTTGGTGTCTTTTGCTTTTTGGGCATTATCATCATTTGAAGAAGTTGGATCCCAATATTGAACTTTACAAATTGGCCTTGATCCAAAAGAGTGGTTGTTGATCCCTGATTCTTTAGGTTTGAAACTTTTGAGTTTACTGTTCTCCAAAGGATGACACTCTACCAACTTTGAGTCAACATTGTCTAACTTCTTCAAAGGCTTCCTTTCTTGCATGATTCCACAAACAGGAGGTTGATCCACTTTACCAGATGGCCTTGTGCCAAAAGAAGGTTTCTTGAACCCTAATCCTTCATGCTTAATGCTATCGAGTTTCTTATCTTCAAAAGGCTGAGAGCTCACAATCTTGTCATTCCCAATATCTAATTTCTTCAAAGGCTTCCTGTCTGCATTGCTCACAAGAGAATCCTGCAAGATTCCACAACCAGGAGGGAAATCACGGACTGCTTCTACTCCGATTCTGATCTTTGGAGGGGGATACTTCCACATCACTGTTTTAGGTTTTCTGAATTCCTCAAGTTTACAGTCATCACCATCATCTAATGGCAGTTTTGAAGATATGACAGGCCGAGATATCGCCATTTTCTAGTCTGAAGCTTCAGTTTGAGGCTAAGTTCGTAAGAAATCTGAACGGAAAGAAGATTATGTAATAAGTAATCGATATTTTCAGAAAATGATTGCTTTTAAACTTCAAACAAAGAACAAGAAATCCACGTTTACATGTCTGCGATTGTACATATACAACAACCTAAAACACGATTAAGAGGGCAAAATTAAGCAAAACACAGCCGATGATAATCATTATACGAAGATGTAACTGCTGGCTTTAATAGATAAACTAACTATTTTAAATCTTAAACACGATTTACGCAATTAAACTCATCATAAATGCTCTTAAAATCCTTGATTAAGTAAGAACGGAGTGGGATTATACATAAAGCAACGGACTTTATGTTTTTTTCTGGCACGGATTTCTATGCAGCCAACAATGGAACCAAAATTCTGACCACAAGCCATTGTTGATTATCTATCTGAACATGAAATCGCAAGTTTTTGAAAGGTGTATCCTATCATTCATCAAATCGGTACACTAACAAAACGAAAAATGAAGATTAAACAAGAAATCGTTGAAGATTCGGCAAGAAATGCAAGACTACAAACATACTTGAATCGTAGATACATAAATCACTTAAATTCAGAGGAATTCAAGCGAAATTCTAGTTTGGATATGGCGTTGGAGAATATTGGGGGGGAAGCACTAGAGCAAACGGTTATCTTTCGAGGAGTAGGATGCGGGGGAGAGGGAGAGTGTGCGTGTTGCAAGTTTTGAAAGTCGGCGTATCTTTGTATTTATTTTGCTAAATTAAAAAATTTGGGAAATCTCCGATGATTTTAGATTTAGGAACTTCAATAAAATCTTAAAATTTTGACTAAGTTTATATTGTTTTAGTTTTAAAAAAAATTAAAAAGTGCAAATTAATATTTTTTATAAAAAAGTCATAAAAACCAAATTTTTTTTTTTCCTTTGCTGAGATGGACATGCCAAGATGGAAGGAGGTTGACGTGGCCTAAGCGTCTCATTATTTGAAAAAATATTGTTGCGTTTTCCAAGAAAAATGGAAATTTTGGAAACGCGTTTGGTTCGTTCAATTTTTCAAAGTTTTCTAAGAAAATGAAAATTTTCAGTTTTCCAAATTGTATGTAAATTAGAAAAGCGAGTTTTACAGTTTTCCGAAATTTTTCAAATTTTTAAGGTGGAAAATGAAAACTACACCACTTCCAACAAAACGCGTTTTTAAAATTTTTATTGAAAACTAAAAATAAAAACTCAACTCTATTTTCTGAAAACATTTTCTAAGAAAATAAAAACCGTTTTCCACAACAAAACGCACCTATAATTTTTTGAAAGGAAAATTAGAGGGAGGGAGACTCAAACTAATCACCTTCATCATGGACACTCCTTATATTCACAATTTTTTTTAGAAATTACTGTATGATAACTTTTTTATTGGGGTTGGACACACTTTGTTCGAGAGTCTAAAAGAAGTTGAATGAGATCGGACACCATAAAAGTTCTTAATTACAATTTTTATAACACTTATAAAGATAAATATAGAATATATCTATCATTTTGCCCAAGATTGCTAAAACAATTGAAAATATATGGTATAGAACTATAGATACACACACCAAAAAAAATCCCCTATTTGACAAAAAATGACGAGTTGTTGCCGGAGAAAAAAACACATGTTTCGTCTTTTCACTTTAATCCCCTTCTGCAAGAGCAAGAGTGTTTGGCTATTGGTGATTTTCAAGTGTGGTAATTATCCTATCTAACATTTATCAAATGCTGATATGTTGTTCTAAAGGTCAAATCTATGGAACAGTGTCTTGCACTGTGTTCACTGCTCAGGACATGTTCTTTGCGTGAAATCGTGGCCTTTTTATCATTGTATGTTTCTAATTTTTATTGATTTAAAAATTGTTGGTTTGTTGTACGTGGAAGTACCACTAGTGGCCCTACCACAACCGTTCTTTTCTTTTTCTTGAACCGTGGTGAGTGCATCTCATTAAACAACATTTATTTATGTATTTATTTATTTTGTATATTGAAGTTGTTCATTATGAGAGTATATAACTAAGATAACTTTTGTCATGAAGTTTAGTCTAAATTATTGTTAATTTTAGATTATTATTTTATATATACATTGTTAATCATTTATTGACGAAGTATATTCCGACCCGATATTTTTTTTTTATCGGTCTATTTACCCAGCTCGATTAAACTAGACACATAGGTCTTAATCTTGTATTTACCACCGACCCGAAGTGTTTCTAGCATACCATCATTCACATTTATATATATAATGTATATTTAACCTTACGTTGAAAATGAAAATTATTGTTATATAATTAATAGAAAAAAAATTAAATATATATTTTTTTGTTCTTCACGCTGGCAGTGGCCACAAACACTGAAACAAAAACAAAAAAGTGGACTTTTTTTTCTTTTATACTTGTTGTTTGACGAGGGTAACAAAGATTATTTATTTTATTTTGTAAACTTATTCCATATAACTTTTTTACTCTTGTCATCAAAATTATTTTGTTCATAACTTTTGTATACATATTTGAAATCATGCACACCTTTTGCATATGTTCATGCTTTAACATAAGAAATGTTTTGAAACCATAAAATTCCACATTTGGAGTCTAAGTGCTTAGTAAGTGAGTTAATGGAACATTTATTAGGATTTTGACACAACCATTGATACTTATAGGTGACATTTGAATTCTTAAATCATCCTTGAAAACGAAGGGAGGTATCAGAGCTTTTCATTTCCTTTGATGGTTAAGAAGTACTATAACTTTAGGTTGAGGTGAGTTTACGAGGAGTACAAGTTCATATATATATTTTGCTGTTTTGATTGATTTGGTTTATATAACTTTCCTATATGCTATGTACCTACTATATGTATTATGTGTGCATGGCAAGGAAGTTAAATTTTTTAAAAGATGTTTTGATTATATGAAAGGTTGATAAGTTGAAAATGTTTTTTTTTTTTTGGAAATTTGTTTTGATGATTTGAAAATTTGATAAGTTAAAGATGTGTTGGCATTCATATACACATTCATTAAAAATGGGAGTCCATAGATTCCATACATGATATCAATATGCAATTTGACAATTACGTTGAGTGTGAATAGATTTTTAGATAGTCCTCACTTTTCACAAGTGTGGTTAGCTACCCTATATGTGGACCCCGTATTATGATTTATGGGTTACCTAGTCTTTTAGTTGAGTGGGCTTAGGATATGTATGGATGTAATACGGTTCTTCTTACATAATTCCCTAAGGTGTATGTTTGGAATATGATCATTCATACACGAGTCCTAATAACCATAAAAGGTGAGTTAACACATTATGATATGGAGGTGAGTTTGAAATAGATGCATGCATTGCATATTGAGTTGTCGAATTATTACCCATTTTGGAAGTTTGATATGATTTTATAAATCTTTGCTAATAAATACATAGCATTTTGGATATGTTGGAACTATGGGATACATAATACCATTTTGGTTTGGGTTTGGGTCTTTAGAACCCTAATTTTTTGTACTGTCTTCTCAAATATTCTTTAGGGGTTTGATTCGAGTGAGATAGATTGTTATCTTCTCATCCTAAATGAATCAACCACGGATATTCTCACTAGGCATTTCATTGTCTAATTTATTTTGACTTGTACTCAGATTGAAAACTTAGGAGTATCTTATAAGATAATGATGATATTTTAAAGGCCTTAATTCGTAAGTTTGTATTTGAACTTGTGATGATTATTAAATTGATTACTACATCGCGCTTTTAACCAAAAATCTATATTTTTTCTATTTTGGGACCTAATTCCGCACAACATTGTTTTTACATATTTTAAAACATATTTGGACCGTATTTTCTGCATAAATTGAGATAAAGTCATTTTTATATAAAGTCGTTGATTTTATAATAATTTTTAAAACAACTCCAACGATGGTGTTCCAATAACTTGTTCCTAATTTGTGTGGACTCCACGTCATCGGTCATGTCCACGTAGATAGTGTTACATTCAATACAATTAAAAGTTTAGTTATACCATTGACCAATAATTTATTTTGGTTTCATTATACCGTTGTCTACATGGAGAATATTGGTGACGTGGAATCCACGTAGGTTGGTATAATGAAACAAAAAAAGGAAGTTTGTTGGTCAATTGAATACAACTAAAAGTTTAGTTACTTAAAGAACAAATAAAGTATATTTGTGGCCATTTTATATCATTTTTCCTAAAATTCCTACTACACAATCTTGAGGAGAGTGTGTAACTCATACAGGCCCATGCAACTATTATATCATTAACATGTTGGGACAGTGGGCATATTTTCAACAGAGTAAAGTATTAAAATTGTATGTGTTTTGGTCAAAATTTACGTGTTAGGTCCTCAATTTTTTTTGTACTCGGATCGTTCTTGTGGTATGCTTTTGTTGCGTTTTGTAGTTTCTAGCAAACATGAAAAGAATATACTATTGTTTATTTATATTTTGATTTATTTAAACGTTTATTTACATATTTAGTCTTATCACCCTAAACCACCATTGCCATGAACCACTATCACCGCTATTATAGACCACCACCTCCACTATTGTCAACACTACTAACAGTCTCAATTATTTCAAAAGTTACAGAAAAAAAATGCACAATAACAATCCTAATAATTCAAAAAAGTGTATCAGAACACAAATATGATAGTAAGTTTAAGGATCTTCATCTTCAAGGTTGTATTTTTTTTAATAGATTCAAGGATTTGTTTGTGGGTTTCATTCTCCGGTGTTCATATCAAAAATAGCCAAGGCGGTGTTTAGTTTCTAATAGAAAACAACCAAGGTGTCGGTGAATTTCATATCATAAACAATCAAGTGGTTGTTGAGTTTCATATTGAGGTATAAGGGTAAGAGGCGGTTGGTGCTTTACATCTGATCCAACAAGGAGACATAGGCGAATATCATCATCGAAAAAAAAAGGAAGCGATGAGTATCATCGTCAGAA